CCAACCAGTGGTCAGACCAGACTAAAAATGGAGTTTCCCCCCACCCTCCCCCACCATCTGGGAAATTTCCATCCAGATAAGACATATGTCTGGCTGGCTTTGTGTCCTTGACTTGCTGGGTCTCCCTTAGATGTGACTGTGGCCTGAGGCCAGGTATCACTGGGCTTTTTGTGTAAGTGGAGTTGACACCTGAGAGCTCATGAGTGCCTTCCAACTAGTCAGGTTTGACCAGGTGGATGTGAGGCTCAGCACATGGAGAGTTTCTTAAACACCGGAAGGTTCTTTCCTGCCTGTTTTCTTATGCCCAGCAGCCTGGACTCAGCCCTGGCTTCCTGCTCCTTTTAAGGAGATGCTGCCGAGGGCCGCTCCCCTGTAGCACCTCTAGGCGAGGCTCTCCTGAGCCCTCAGAAAGGCATACCTGCAGGGCTGGTGGAGGAACAGGGTCTCCAGGGATGTCATGCAGCTCTCTCCTCAGCAGCATTCACGAGGAGCTCATCCTGGGGCAAGCCAACGGCCTCCTGCAGCTTCACGCTGGCCCTGTGGAGCGGCGTAGCACTGTAGAAGAGCTGGCAGGCAGACATGGTCAGGGCAACGGTCAGCACAATGGGCATAGCCAAGGTGGTGTCCCTCTGGGGGGGCAGCGCCCACCAGGCCCGTGTGACCAAGAGCAGGACACAGAAAACCAGCTCCAGTAGGAGGGCCGGTCCAAAGCCCAGGCTGAACGTCACCACCGGCTACTCAGGCCAGGCAGTCAGCAGGTCCATCTGGCACTGAGTGGTTCTGTGCAGCTCCCTGGAGGTGCCCAGCAGGGCCGCCACCCCAGGGAGCTGCAGAGGGAGCAGACCAGGATGGCCACCAGGGCTCGGGCTGGCCTCAGAGACCCTTGGTCACCATGGGCAGACAGGGTGGGGAGCCTGGTAGCAGGAAAGCAAAGAGCATGGTCACCTGGAGGTCCTGGGCGTTGAAGCAGCAGGTGCTGGCGCAGAAGGCAAGGACCCTGCAGTCCAGGTTGGTGGTAACAAGGTAGTCTGGCCTGGTGACAGCCATCAGGGACAGCAGGCTCACCAGCATGTTGGTCATGGTAAGGTCCAAGAGGAATGTCTCCAGGCTCCCCAGCCAACTGCACCCTCAGAGGAGTTGAATACCCCCGCCACCAAGCCCAGGGGGATGAGCAGGGCCAGGTACACATGTGTGAGCTTTGAGATGATGCTCTGCAAGGCGATGACATCCTCCGTGGCCAGGGACACGAGGCTGGGGTATCGTACCCACTATACATGGGCAGACATCAGGACCAACTCTGCTGACCTGTAAGGAAGCAAACCTACAGGGGTTACTGCAGGCTCCGTCAGGAAGGCCAGCCCGTGTGGGGTGTCGGGGGAGAGGGGGCAGTGACAGCTTTAAAGGAGGGACTTTCCCGAGAGCCCAGGCAGAGATTTTAGGACAGGGCTGAGTGGGGATCAGGGCCTGTATGAAGTGTCACTCGTAAACTCAACTCAGATCTGATGGATTGCTGGTTGGGGGAAGGGGGGAAGTACCTTGGGGCGGTGGGTGGAGGAGTGGGCAAGGCCTGGGAGTGGTAGGCCAGGCTCCGGAGTCTCCATTTAATAGCTCCCCGCATGGTTCCAAGACAAACTCAGGGTGAGAGCCGAAGGGACAGTGGGGTCCCTGGTACTCTGAGGGTTGGGAGGGGAGATGTGAAGCCACAGTGGTATGAGAGCTTTCCTAGCATTTTAAGCGTCCTCTCCATCCTCGCCCCACCCCTAAAGGAACCTCACTCATTCAGGTCACTGCAGGTACAGCCCCATCCAAGTGTGGGCTCAGTGTGCACCCTCCACGCTGGCTCCTCCAGCGTTTGCACTCGGGTTCCCAAGTGCGGGGTCCTGCCTGGGTGCACCCAGTTTCCCAGGAGCAGCGTCCTGCTGGTCTCGGAGGAGCCCTTTCCACTGAGGAGCCGGAGGCCCAGGACCTGCGTGTCTGGAGCTGAGTCTGGATTCAGAGTCCAAGTTTGGGACCCCTTCATCCTGAGAAATGCTGTCCTGCACTAGGGGATCCTTACGACTTTTAAAAACACAGAGACCAAGAAGGTGGTGTTAATTCACTGACTATCGGAGGGTTATGGCGGCTTCTTCCCTCTAGCCTGGGCTAGGGCATCGTAGATGGCAGTTCCAGGAGTTAGGGCCTCAAAAGGCAGAACAGTCTCAGAGCTGTGCTTCCCATCTTTTATCACTGAATTAACTTTGTTTCCATACAGATGCCTCCCCCCGCCCACAATAGCCTGTGAGGCTGGGAGACATTTACTCAAAGGAAATCCACAGCAATAAAGTTAGAAACACTTTTGATGGCAAGTTGGGGGGTGGCCTGGCTCCCCAGCCCTTTTTCATCTTCTCTGTAGGGGAGGGAAGCTGTGGCTGAAGGAAGGGCCGATGCCCCGTGAGGGGTAGGCCCTGCAGGAGGGGTGTGCATAGGTGCTGAAGCAGCCCCTTGCCTCGGGCCAGGCTGGCAGACCCCACGGTGTGATCAGACGGCAAACTGATAGCTCTGAAGAAGAGAGCAAAGGAGAATGACCAGCTTCCTTCCGCACCTGTGACAGCTAGAGTAGCTTGAGGTATACCCCAACCCCGGTGTGCACACAGAAAAGGGTTCACTGTACATGCAGGTGGGGGTTTAATATGCAGGATCTTCCTATATGAAGAGTTCTGTCATTGCTTTTTTCACTTAATGTAGCATAGGCATCTTCCTGTGTCTATTGTACTTATCTGCACCTGTTCCACTTGCTTTGACAGCTACGTAATAGTCTGTGTCCTAAACAGAGCCCTGGTGACGCTGTGGTTAAGCATTTGGCTGCTAACCAAAAGGTCGGCAATTCAAATCCACCAGCTGCTCCTTGGAAACCTGTGTGGCAGTTCTACCCAGTCCTATAGGGTCGCTATGAGATGGAATTGACTCGAAGGCAATGTTTTGTTTTGTTTTTTAAGAAAAGGTTACTTCCAAAATCTCTTATCAAAGTCGAACAGTAATCAATAGCTACCCTCCTCCAGGACAATATAAGGACTTAAAAACTTTAACCACATGTAACCCTCTTCCCAAATCATATAATATTGTTTGGTGTAATTTTTCATAACCAAGAAGGCAGTATTATTGTTGTTGCATGCAATCAGTATTTATTTAGAACTACCCACATATTTACCACCTCCTTTGCTTTTCATTCCTTCTCGAAATTCAGCTCTTCTACTTAGAATAGTTTTCCTGCTGCCTGAAGTGCATTTTTTAGAATTTTCTTTAGTGAAGATCCTTTCGTGTTGGCTGGTGGTAAATACTCACTTTTTGCTTGTCTAAAAATGTGGTAGTCTTGCTGGGCTGGAATTCAAGAATGGCTGTTAGTTTATCTTGCTTGGGGTTTGCTGGGCTTCTTGAGTCAGTGGCCTGATGACTTCCATGAGTCAAGCTTGTGTGTCTTCACCTGTTGCCTCTGCCTCAGTCTCCCCCTCCCCACCAGGACTCTAACCAAACATTATGTCACAGTTTCCCATGGACTTACCTCTTCAGACCCATCTTCCAGGTCACCATTTTCCTCTTTAGCTATAACTGATCTGGTCTTAAAACTGCCCACTTAGTTTTAAAATTTAATGTTTGTTTTCTTATTTCTAGAGGTTCTTAAGGTTTTAAAAAGCCTGCTGACATTTTCCTAGATTCCTATTCCTTGCAGGTATCTTCAAGCCTGTCTTTTGTTCCTTTAGAGGTGGCATGACCATTTTATAATCTGGTCATTCCTGGAGTCCTGTGTTCTTGTATTTCCGATCATTTTTGAGCAGGGTATTATTGGCTGTGTACTTGAAAAGTTACATTTGGAAATAACTTGAGGCTTACAATGAAATTTACTCCAAAGAATACTCGCTTTTGCTTTTACTAGATTCCTGGAGGCTCACCAGTCTAGGACCACTGGAATCCCTGAACATTCTGGAATTTGAAAGTAGGCTGTGCTTCTGAGAGAGCGCGTACACTTCCCATTCTCCCTCACACCGAGGGCTGCCCCAGGGTCCCCCGCTGGGTGTGCAGGGGGCTCCTGTGCGTTTCCCTCCCCAGCCAACTGGCTGTTGATGGAGGCAATCCCTCTGAGGCTCCATCCAAAATCAGCCCTTACTGAAGATAATCAGTGTTCATAAGGCCACACGGAGCCCTTAGTAAGGCATCCTTGAGCGGCCGACCGGGCTCACTGGGGAGGGGTCTCTCTCAGACTGTCCCGTAGCTGGCCTCTCAGGCTCCTCTCCCTTCTGCCTGGCGACTCCTTGCTCTCTTGTCCTCTTTTTTTTTTTAATCTTCAGTTTTTTGTTTTCTTTCTTCCTGCTTTTCAGTAGTGGGGTTGAACTGAGTACTGAAGCCTGTTTATGACCAGAACCAGAGGCAGCCCCCTACCCTGGAAACAGCCTGCTGGCTCTGGGGTTCTGGGTAGTGAGGAGTGGGGGAGTCTGTCATGTTGGGTCACCTACCTGTAAATAGCCTGCTGGATCTGGTGTTCCAGGTAGGGAAGTGGGGTTCATGGTGTGCATCCCCTTGTCCTGTAAACGGCTTGCTTGTTCTGGGGTTCCATGTGGTAGAAGCGGGGCGGGTTCATGGTGTGCAGCCCTACACCTTGTAAATGGCCTGCTGGTTCTGGGGTTCCGGGTGGTGAAGGGGAGTGGTTGGTGGTGTACAGCCCCCCACCCTGTAAACGGCCTGCTGGCTCTGGGATTCCGGGTGGTGAGAAAGGGGGTCCGTGGTGTTGGTTCGCTCACCACCAGTGTGCTGTTATGCCGGGCCCCACTCACCCACTCCAGCCTCACTGGCTGCCTCTGTAGAATGGGGTGACCATGCAGCCCCCCAGCTCTCTTGCATGGGAGGGCTAAGTGCAGAGTGGGTCCCATGAGACCCAGGGTGATGCTGGCTGGTCTGTGTATGACCTGCGTCTGTTCATTCTGATCTGGTGCTCCTGCCCACTCACGAGTCCTGTCTTCCCTTCACAGGCCCACACCAACGCGAGGGACCCACACGTCCTCCAGGTGTGTCTCAACCCGGTGAGTACTGTGCCCTCTGTGGGTCACTAGGACGCCGTACACAAGAGCATGAGGGACAGTGGCAACTGAGAGTGAATGATTGGCAATGTTTCTTTCATCAAAGCCAGTGGGGAAGGAGGTCTTTGCGCCTTTGCCCAGCCTGCTCATGTGTGGCCTCCGCCAGGGTTTGGGCCCACAAGCTGTGGTGCTGTGGTGCATTCACTGTGAGGTGGCCCTGACGTCCAGCATCAGCTCTGCATTTGGTCTGGAAGTGGTTGGGCCCTGGGCCACCCTGCCAGGCAGGGCATGTATGTGGTCTGAGCTTGGCCGAGAGAGGTCCTTGACCTGTGAGCCTGATGGAAAAGGTGGTCACTTGCTTTCTTCCTTAGTCGTGCTTTCCTGCAGAGGCGCACGACGGCCCGTACTGAGGGAGAGAGCTAAAATGCCTTCTCTTCTCCCCTGCAGGCTATTCAGGAGGTCCTCGTCCAGCTTTACCTCTTACTTGTTGTGGGCGGGTCCCCTGTACCCTCGAGTCTCTATCTCCCCGTCTGTGAAGTGGATCAGACACCACTCCCAGCCTGGAGGCTTCACCCTGCACGGCTGGGGGGCCGAGTGCCGGGATCCCTGCTCCACCACTGACCCAGCTGCTCAGGACTTGGTCCCCGCACTGGCCTCATATGCTGTGTGAGCCTGGGTCTGCCGTGTGGGGACGTGGGGATGGTTTCTCAGGTAAAGACCTAATAGTGGGATTGCTGGTTCATGTAGTGTCCATTTCACTCTGCATGAAGCTGCCACTGCTGTTTTCCTCAGTGGCTGCACCAGTCTGCGTTCCCACCGCAGCCTAGACTTATAACTGGGCTCCCTGGGGACAGACATCCGTCCACGCAGACCTGGGAGTTGTTTTGGTGACCAGTCTGAGGCCAAGAACCAGGGGCTTCTGGGACGTTCCGCCAGGGCCATGTAGAAGGGCTGCCAAAGTCCGGGCCTGGGGTCCCCTGGGAGCTCCCCAAGGCCAGAGCCCTGAGAGTTCTGTGTTCCACACAGCAGCTTTTGGCTGCAGCTCCTTAAATAGTCCTTTAGGATGCCTCTAGAAGTCTGGGCCCCAACTCCCTGGGTCACTTCCCAGAGTGAGAGGTGGGAGATGTAGCAGCCCCCTACTACCAATAGTGAGGGTGAATGTCTCCCAGAGCCCCAGCGAGGGGCATTGGCCTCTGGAAGTGCGGCCTCTTGTGTGCTGGGTGCCCCGCCCTAGAGGCTTCCAAGCCCCTCCATGCGCATCCCTGCTCGAGCGATCCGGGGCCGACCTTCTGCACAGACGTGTCTTTGTGTTGGTGCAACATCGGGAGTTCTGCGTATTCTGTCTCGCACATTGTTATTAAACGTTTCCCATGGTTCTGCATGGTTTTTATTGTCATTCTTGGTGGCATATAATTATCATGGCAGTGATAGTGATGTACATACTAAACTGTCCCCTTACAGTGGACACGTAAGTTATTGCTGAACTTTTGCCATTATAGACCCTCTCCTCTCCTGTGTGCTTTACAAAATGCCCCAGAATGGCTCGCAGTTGTTTTTCTGTGCAAAAAGAGCATATGCCGTTGAGACCAGGCTTCTCTCAGGGTAGTTCTGCGTGTCCATTTGGCGCATAAACTCACCATAGTGGGGTGGCTTGGGGCCTCAGCGGAGAGCTCCTGCAAACGCGTGTCCTTGAGGCTGCCGTGTCCTTGTCCCACGGCCCTAGATGCCCAAGGCTGTTCTTAGCCTGACTCTCTCTTCTGGGAGTTACATTGTCGAATTTCATCATATAAATGGACACAGTTTGTCTGTGGCCGTTCACCTGCTGCCCACTCATGATGTTGAAGGTGTGGAGAACATGGCCACTGTGCAGGGGGCTGCTCACGTGACTGGTGGAGGGACGATGGTCCCTCAGAACACAGCCCCTGCTCTGTGCTGTGGGACCTAGTGCCCCCCCTCAGAACATAGCCCTGCTCTGTGCTTTGGGGTCTGACATTGCCCCCTCCCACCTCAGAACACGGCTTCTGCTCTGTGTTGTGAACCTGATGCCCTCCTGTGCCCCCCCTGCCGCCCCGCCCAGAATATGGCCCTGCTCTGTGGTGTGGGATGATGGCCCTACTCTCTGCTGTGGTTCTGATGCCCCCCTTCTGAGCGGCCACCCCTTCACTTTCTGGCAGGCCTAAGCTCTCTTAGCACCTCTGGTCTTGGTTCTGTAGATGTTTCCATTTTAGTCCCCTTGCTTCTTCCAAACTCCAGGTCCAGTGACCCTGTGAATAATCTTGTCTGATCTCCCTACTCGAAATCTCTTTGAGAGCTAGCTGCTAGGTGCGAGGCCAGTTCTGTGCTGTTGGGCTCTTGTGGGTTTGTGGCTACAGATGGCCTGTGTCGCCCCTGAGCTGGTTGGTGGGGTTTGTGTGGTCCAACTTTGGGCCTGGTGTCTGGTGGTGTGTGGAAGCCAGCGCAGACCTCCGCACCTGTCCCTACCAGCCTTTCCACCTGGGGTGCTGGGGGCCAGGGTGCAGGTGGCCTTACCCTAGGGTCAGCTGGCCCCATCTATTCCGGCTGCTTCTTGGAGGAACCCCATGTGTGGAGGTGCCATCAGACTGACCAGCTCCGTCTCATCCCCTACCCAGTTCAATTCCAGAAACTATTAGAATGCCTCTTTTGAGTATTGGGGAAAAACAACGTCACACGCATGTAAGGATAAAAGGGTTTCCTGAGTCTCCTGAAGCACGTGTACCTTCTCCCGTTCTCTGTCTCTCTCGCTCTTTCACAGTTGCTACCTCTTGCTCACACGCCTCCCCAGGAGCACAGAGCTCTCTGGGTGTGAGCATACTGGGTCGCACACAGCCTTGTAGTGGGCACAGTGCTGTCCTCAGCAGCCTGATGGCCAAACATCACTGCTAAGGGGGTGTTTTTGTCTTACCGCATTGACTCCCAGACCCGCAAGCAGCACCTGCTCCAGCCCTCGCTGTTCCAAGGCTTGAGGGGAGGACCCAGCAGAGATGGGGGAGACTCTTGGTCTGGTGATGGTCCATCCGTCTCTGCGAAACCCTGTGGAGTCTGTGCTCACCCACACATGGTGAAGTGTCTATGTGCACAGCACCTCCTCCCCACACTCGACCCGAGGCTCTGCAGCTGTACACAAGCCCTGATGTGGAGATGCAGCCCAGTCAGCCAGCAAGGCCGGCCACTCAGCTGGGCCAACAGCTTCCAGCACGGTGCAGCAGGGTTGGACCCGTGTCTTTGGGCGTCAGGCACAGAACACGCCAGGGAGTGACAGGCTCATAGGGCAGTGGCAAGGCCCTCAAGTCTGAATGAGGGCTTGCCATGAAGGCTATATGGGCAGAGACCCCTTAACCCCAGATCTTCTTCCCACTGGAGACAGGAGAGCCATGGAGAGCAGGGCACAGAAGAAGGTTCACTCTCGGATGACCTCTGCTGGGCCTGAAGTACCCTCTCCTGGAACCACTGGGGCGTGTGGCCAGCCCTGTCAGCTGCGAGTGTCTGCAGGCAGACAGAGTGGTGTCACTGTCAGGTCTATGCTGGCAGCAGAGTGGGCAGCCACGAACACCAGTGCCATTACGGAGAAGAACTTCTGTGAGGTTACATGGAGCAGGCGCCTCCACAGGGCGCTGGGGAGCCTGGTGCAGGGGCGGCAGTTAGCTCTGGTCTGCTCCCGGGCCCATGAGACCCCCCGCTTTGCTGTCTGAGCAGTAACAGGAGTGAGCCTGGTGCCCCATTGCCCTCCCCTTTCCCACCTTTCTCTCCCTATCCCATCCCCCCACCTGCTACTGGAAGAATCCTCCATTTCCAGGGTTCAGGCCCCATGAAAGCACGCAGGTTCCAGATGTGGCTGCTGTAAAAATGGTCACTGTACCCTGCAAACCCCAGCTGGCCAGCTCTGGCCCCAGGATGAGAGTCCACTGCAGGGATTTATCTGGTGCATCCTCTAGTTCCCTGTGTTTTCTGATGGGACAGACCCTGTCCCTCCCATCCTTGGGAGACAGAGCTGTAACTGCTATCCATCCTCTCCTAATGCGGACACCCTGCACAGTTTACATGGTCATTCCTAATCTAATGCTGGGAAAACAAATTGTAAATTACATATATATGTACACATATATATGTATTTAATGGAACCCACCTGTAGGATAAATAAGCTTTGGTTTTTGGAGAGGAACTCCCCACGATTGACACATTGCCCCAGCCTCCCTATAGCTCCTCGTACTGATCAGAGACAGATTTGGGGGGTGGGCAGCATGGGGGCATTCACCTGTGGAAGACCCCAACACTGCTCCAGGCGAGGATGATCCGAGGACCTCTCCCTGCATCTGGCGCTCGCCTCTGCCCTCCTGGCCCAGCTTGCACCTTCCACCTCCTCTGGGCTCTGTGCGCACTCGGGATGGCAGGCACAGACCCTGCAGTTTGAGCAGAAAAGCGGGAATTTGGGCTTAAGTCGCTCCAGCTATATGCATTGCATTTTTAGCAGCTTAAGGCCATGGGACTCAGAAACATCCATCAAGGCAGCTGAGCACTGCGCCCGGTTGTGAGGGCACCTCGGTTTTCTTGCCAGTGAAGCCCACAGCTGTCCTTCCCACAGTGGCCCCTCCCAGCAGACAGGCAACATCTGCAACCTAAAATAGGACCTGAAACTCCACCCTGCAACAAGGGAAGAGCTGTTCCAAACCCTCTAAGCCAATGGAAAATTCCCCAGAGCCTCCCCTGAGACGTCAGCGACGGGCCGGCTGGCTCTGCTCCCAAGTCGGTGGTCTCCACCCACTGTCCCAATAGCAAGGACCTGATATGCAGGGGAAGCACTGGATGGAGGTCACCCCAGACCTCGCCCCAGTCCCGCGGGCTCTCCTCATCCTGCAGGCCCTGCAGCCCAAACCCTCACCCCAGCAGCACACTGAGGCACCGTAGCCAGCCGTGACCCCTAGAGAGCAGCTCCCCCAAGTGGCATCGGCCTTGCTGGGACATCTGGAGGCCCCTGCAGGTGAGGT